GGACCAATATTTCGCCTTCTCCATGTAAAAATGTTTGGGACATAATTGCGGCCTCCGGAACGACCAGAAAAACCGACAAAAATTAAGTATTTAGTCCATTTCATCCCATAAATATTAAACGATCTTTACCAAAAACAATAGGGGTCTTCATTGGGCCGAACCCATCCTACATGCAAAATTTCGTGAAGATTGGTCCATATCTGTGGCCTGAATCCTATTTACAAATTATAATGGACAGACGGACGGACGGACACACATGTCTAGATCGACTCAGCTAGTCGAGATATGACGATTGTTATACTTAAAGGTGGGTCTAGGACCAATATTTCGCGGCCTTACAAACTCTTGGGGCTGCACAAATCTATAATACCCTGAAAACATAGTTGTGTAGGTTATAAAAATCTACGCCTTGTGTTCATGCTTGAAAAAATAATTTTTAAGGAATCCAAGTCCTTGGTAACAAAATTTTTAAAATCAACACCTTGAGTTGTCCTTACTCTTGTCCTTGTTGAGTGGTTCTTAAAAAATATTAAAATAATCATCGCCTTGGCTAGTTCCTGAAAAATATTTTTTTTTTACAAAATCCACAATCTGTTTGGACGTGGAAAGCAGTCTCGTCCATAAAAATTATTTAAAAATAAACCAATTTTTATGTTGTTCATTTGTACAACCAACAAAAAATCACCCTTACATCTTCAATTATTCTCTTTCACATTTAATTGCAAAATATTTATTTAATTTACATAACCACACATATACACACACACTCGGAACTGACTAACTGACCAATCAAATTAAAATTTAGTAAAATAAATTTCTTTCAATTTGTTGCCCAGTTAAACGAATTACCAAACAAGTTGTTGAAGAATATAAATTAGACAAATTTATTATAGTTAAAAGCATTTAAAATTATTTTTTAAGGGTATTTTGTGGTATGCTTATAAAATATTAGGAAAAAATAAACTACAAAAAACCAACCACATTCTTTATAAGAAGCCAACTACAAAGAAAACAAATTTCCCCAAAATAAAAACATTTCTTTAGCACTTGATGGTGTTGTGTTTTTGTTTGGAATTTCATAACAACTGTAATACTAGCCGAGAAGAAAAACAAGGAAATACCAAAAGGAATACAAAGCAGAAAAATGTAGTAGTAATGCAATAGATAACAACATCAGCAGTTGTTGTAAAAAAAGAAGTGCCACTAAATCATAGTTCTTTTCGAGGGCGTAACAGGCTATGCTAAAAGCAGAAAAAGCTGATATTCTCTCTAACAAAAAAATTATGAAATATTTCATTCTTTAGTTATTTTTCGGTTTATTTTTGCTTTTCTCTTTGTTTTTTTTGTCTTTGTTTATTTGGGTGTTTCAATTTTTCTGCTTAGTTATTTTCATTTCTTTTCTGGGGGGTTTTTATTTCAATTCGTATTCCCGTTAAAAATGTATTTAATCATTTTTTAATATTTCTCCCTCTCTTTTGTTTTATTTTTTTTTTCGTTGTCCATCGTTCTGGCTATTTTCTGTTCATCGCATGGAAATAGCCATTCATTCAGTTAGTTAGAAAAGGCAGAAGCAATGGACAAAAATATAGCTCAAAATTTCTGCCTTGTCTATTATTCCATATTGAAAGCGGTATTCTTAAACCATATTTTTTCTTATAGGAGGGATTTTTACAAGGGAGGATGCCTTTCAAATATTGAAAAAATATTTTTCACGAAACCTTATAAGATGAGATTAATTTAAATTTGTTTTGCAAGAACCTTTACAAACATGGATTTTTTTTTAAATATTTCTTTAACGGGCCCTTCAGAGCAAGGATTGGCTTATAGTGGATTTTTGTAAAAAGGGTTTGTTTGAATATGTGGATTCTCATATATTTGTTCGTGGACTCTTAGAAAGTGGAATTTTAAAAATTATTTTTTCATAAAGATTGATTTTTTATTGATTTGATTCCATTGATCTTGTAAGATGAAATTTTTGTTTAATTAGGTTTTGATGGACTCTTATAATGTGGATAAAAAATATTCATAGACCCTTTTTAGGAGCAATTATTTAATGCGGGGTTTTGTCAAGTTCGGATTTATTAAAAATTATTTTTTGGGGATCTTAATATGATCGGATTTATTAAAAATATGTTTTTCAGAGACCCTTATTTTACGGAGATTTTTTAGTAGTGTTGGCGGTTTATTTGGGATATAATTTGCATTTTGTTTTTGCAAAATAGTCAGGCTGAATCCCAGTTTGTTGTTTAAAAAAAGAAAAAAAAAATTAGTGAGGAATGTATGGCATTGTTTGGCGAGGAGTAAGGCAGGGAAGACTATAGTTTCGGATCACGCCACTGATCCTCATCAGTTCCCTTAGTTTTTTGTTGGGATATTCTCCCCAGAAGCTATTGCTTCTATACAAAAAACCTTTCATACCCAAATGTCTCTTGTAACAAAGCGAAGTACTTAGCTGACCAACGACAGAAACTGCATGAGAATTTCGCTGGAGCCTCACTTCGAGGTTAACACGATACAGGCCACAGTTATGGACCAATCGCCACGAAATTGCATGTATGTCCGAATATAGCCAAATGCCATACACTTTATTTCTGCCTGTTTTCTGGTCTGTTTTTGTTCCAGAGGCCTCAATTATGATTTGAACATCAGGAAATTTTATATATATATATATATATATATGAATTCTTGATCAGCGTAAATTACAATGACAATTTAGGCATATCTGTCCGCCTCTCTTTTATAATCACTCTAACGAATTGAGGTAGCTCTCCACACTGGCATAGAATTGGCTTTTGTCTGCAGGCAGTTCAAGTTCGAAGATGGGATATATAGCTATAGGCATAGCTCCCATATAAGGGTACCCCTCAATTTTCGGTATTTTAGGGTTCTTGAGCGCGTTTTTTAACCGAATACCAAATTTCTCTTCTAAAAATTTTAAATATGGGTCCACTTTTTTCTCGTAGACCCCATATAACGGTGCCCCAAATTTCCAGTATCCTGGGGCGTTTGATCGTATTTTTTGAATGGCCGTAATTTAATACTTTGAGTTCTTATTGGGTAGGAAATCTCCCTGCAAAAATTATAAATACAGGTCTATTTTTCCAGATAGCCCCCAAATTTTGGTATTTTTTAGTCGTATTTGGTAAAAAATCTCCTCCCACAATTTTTTTATATTCGTCCCTTTTTTAGAGATATACCCTGTACCACACTGCTGTATAGGGTGTTATGTGAATTTGTTTGTGATAAGAAAAAGAAATCGAGATAGACCCATGGTTCCTTTTGAGAATATGCATAGAGTCACTTTCTGAGTCGATTTGTTCATGTCCGCCCTGTGATCAAAGTACAGGGCGCATTTATGATCCGATTTTAATGAAAATTTGCACAGGTCACTTTTTTGACCCAAGGACGAACCCTTTTGAAATTGGAGATAATCGTTTCAGATTATTATATAGCTTCCATATATAGTTTCGTCCAATTTTATGTAAATGGTACACCAAACTCCCATTATTGGTCCGATTGAGAACATTTTGCACATAGTACTGAATTATGTCCTGATTGATGTGTACGTTTTGTTTTAAATTGGTACAGATTTAGATATAACTCCTATATATAGTGTCATCCGATTTTGTGTAAATGGAGCATTATACTGCCAATATTTGTCCGATTGAAGCAAAATTTTACACAGAGTACTGAATTAGATCCAGATTGATGTATGCGAAGTTTTGTTGGAATCGATTCAGATTTAGATATAGCTTCGTCCGATTTTATGTAAGAGGAGCATTAACATTAAATTTTTCATAAATTTAAATGGGGTGTTTTAATTTAATTCAAATATCTAAGTACGCAGTTAATTTCGTCGGATTCCATGTCTATTCTATCAAAAGGATATTGGTCATATATAAATATTGTATATACCCAAAGTAATGAAGTGTTTCATATAGTCGGTTATAAATTAATTTTGATCTGAAACTACACCTTCCCCACTAGTCGAGTTTTTTTATATTTATTGAAATTAATTGCTTTACACTAAACGTCAATGTTATATGAACTTATGTTTTTCTTCTGAATTTTTATGTGGACTTTTATAATAATTTATTTCCTAAAATTAATTTATTTAAATTTTTTTTTTGTTTTTTTTCCTTTTAAGTGGGATTAGAAAAAATATACTATATAATGTGGATTTTTAAAGAATTTTCATTAGAGGATCCTTATATGCGCAAATTCATTTGATTTTAATTAATGTTGCAATCAATTTGCAAAATATATCATGTCCGTTTATTTGGTAAATTAGGAGCCCATTGAGGTCCATATAGGATTAAAAATATCAGGAAATGTGTTGTGGTAGTTCATGCCATCACTTCAGTTCAAACATTGAATTTGAGTTGCGTAATTGAGATCTACATTTATCTATATCATGGTCCATACAAATTTCTACATTACGTATACTACATGGTTTCATATATTCTAAATACATATTTGTCCAAATCATGATATTTTTTTTATATTCGTTATTGTCATCACTGTTTGACTTGTATATACGACTTTATTTTGGGCAGTAGATTGTTTATCATTTTTATGTTTTTGCTAAAACATTCACACTATGTTTTTGGCTTTGTTTTTCTATTTTTTTTCTTCCATATTTCACGTTAAAAATGTCGACTTCTATTTCATTTCTTTTACTCCATTTCTATGAAAAATTGTTGTCACTAGTTTGTAAAAATTTAAAAACGCATATACATAAGTGGCCATTACCAAAGACATTACTTTAGAAATGTGATTTTTTGGGTCTTTTTCTGAATAATACTTTTCACGTAACATTCGTTTACATTGCAAAACAAATAGGCCATCTAGGCGTATGAGTTATACACATTCACAGAATAAGTGCACCACTCATCACTCATACGCAGTGGAGCACAACAATGATCAAAATTATTTATTTTGTTTGCAAATACAATTTTCTTTAATTGTAAATTGTGTTTAATTAAAAAAAATAAACTTACCTATATTCATGTGACATGAAGAAGGTACCACGAATGTTGCAGCCATTAGGATTTTTACGTTTGCCGTTGAAAATCTTCAAGTAATGATCGTAATTATTCAAATTGACAGCACCATCGAAGGTCAACATAATCATTTGGGGGATCTGTAAGAAAGGGGCAAATAAAAAAAAAAAAAAAATATTAGGCATATATTTTATTTCTTTTTATTTTCAAATATAAAAATAATAATACTGTACAAGAAGATGTTGATGGGAGGAAAATTCCATATGGGTTGAAAAGCCCTTAGAGAATATAATAACAGCACAGAAAGAAAAATTCACCATAGGTCAAATTGTCCATGCATTTTTTTGTTAACTCTAAAGTTACCAACTAAAAAGATAATTTTTGTTCATATCTTGCTACTATTGAAATATTTTTCATTTTTCAATATTTGATTTCAACATCTCCTTTTTCCAATAAAAAAAATTATAATAATTTCCAGATCATTTACCAAGACCACAATAACCAATAATATCATTTCAACTACATTATCATTTCTCACTAGTTATGAGATTTATTTAATAGACTTATAAATATTTAATGTTTTTTCTTCTCTACAGTTTTTTGAGTTCACAACACCACTATTGTACATTGCAACAACAACAGAAGAAAAAAAAATACTAGCCAAGCATAAATAGCCATATCGACACAAAATGACGAACATTCAAGGAATTCTTGGAATTTTTGTCACTTCAACTTCAAGTAAAATGCAAATCTAATATAAAACCAGTAAGGAAAGTTCAAAAGTCGGACTGGCCGACTATATGACACCCTTCACCACTTTGGGTACATGCAAGACATGTTAATATCTACAATATCCTGTAGGTAGAACGGTCATAGAATCTTTGGAGGACCATTGAGATGGAATCGGGCAAAGTTAAATGTGCTCTGCTAGATAAATATTTGAACCAATTGAAAACCCCCTTACACATAACATTCTGAAATCAATGAAAAATTGCATGTCAAACGGACAGACATGGATTATTTGGTGTACCATTTGTATGAAATCCATTCAAATTATGTATGGGAGCTATATATAAGCAAATGGACCTAATTGAGTAACCGTTGCATATACCATTTCTTTTTTTGTAATCACTATATTCAATTTAATACCCTCAGCCAAATTTCGTGTAACCACCATTTACATAAAATCGAACGAAAATATATATAAGACCTATATTGAAATCTGAGCCGATTTTAACTAAACTTCGCAGACATCAGTCCGGACCTAAATCAGTACTCTGTTCAAAATTTTGTCCCAATCGGACTAATATTGTGAGTTTGTTGTATCATTCGACAAAAAAAAAAAAAAAAAAAAAAATCGGACGAAAATATATAAGGGAGCTATATCTAAATCTGAACCGATTTTAACAAAACGTAGCAGACATCAGTCTTCTCTGTGCAAATTTTTGTCCAAATCGGGCAAATATTGGGAGTTTGGTGCATCATTCACATACATTCGGACGACTATATATATGGGAGCTATATCTAAATCTGAACCGATTTCATACATTAGTCTGGACCTAATTCAGAACTCTGTGCAAATTTTTGTCCAAAGCGGACAAATATTGGGAGTTTGTTGTATCATTCGCCAAAAAATCAGACGAAACTATATATGGGAGCTATATCTAAATCTGAACCGATTTAAACAAAACTTCGCAGATATCAGTCTGGACCTAATTCAGAACTCTGTGCAAATTTTTGTCCAAATCGGACAAATATTGTGAGTTTGTTGTATCATTCGCCAAAAAAAAATCGGACGAAAATATATAAGGGAGCTATATCTAAATCTGAACCAATTTTAAGTAAACTTCGCAGACATCAGTCCGGACCTAATTCAGTACTCTGTGCAAAATTTTGTCCCAATCGCACAAATATTGGGAGATTGGTGCATCATTCACATACAATCGGACGACTATATATATGGGAGCTATATCTAAATCTGAACCGATTCCAACACACATAAGTATGGATCTGATTCAATGCGCTGTGCAAAATTTTGTCCCAATCGGTGCATCATTTACATTAAATCGGACGAAACAATATATGGGAGCTATATCTAAATCTGAACCGATTTTAACAAAACTTCGCAGACATCAGTCTAAACCTAATTCAGAACTCTGTGAAAATTTTTGTCCAAATCGGACAAATATTGGGAGTTTGGTGCATCATTCACATACAATCGGACAACTATATATATAGGAGCTATATCTAAATCTGAACCGATTCCAACACATTCTGATTCAGTGCGATGTGCAAAGTTTTGTCCCAATCGGACAAACATTGGGTAGCTTGGTGCATCATTTACATAAAATCGGACGAAACTATATCAAAACCTGAACCGATTTTCTCCAATTTCAATAGGGTTCGTCCTTGGGCCAAATAAGTGAACTGTGCCAAATTTCATCCATATCGGATTATAAATGCGAACTCCACTTTGTTAACAAAAACACATGGACGGACGGACATACGTAAATCGACTCAGAAAGTGATTCTATGCATATTCCCAAAAGGAACCATGGGTCTATCTCGATTCCTTTTGCCTGTTACAAACATATGCACAAAGACATAATACCCTGTACCACGGTTTGGTGAAGGGTATACAAATAAGGCAGAAAAATGCAAAAAAAAATATTTCTAAGAATTCTTGATTTTTTTTCTCTCTCGCCATAAAACGTTTTCTATGCCAGCAGAAGACGGTGAAAACACAAGTGGGCGAAGAAATGACAATTTTCATAACAACAACAACAGAAAAACCAAAGCCAACGAAAAAAATAATAATAAACCGGAAAAATGTATTTACATTTCCACTTGTCGACGACAAATAAGGGAAATATTTTTCACTTTAACATTCAACGGATCTCAGAGGGACGGGGGGAAATAATTTTTTTTTTTTCAAAAAAAAAAAAAAAGGAAAAAATGAACACAGAAAAAAAAAATTGGAATGCAAAGTTCAAGTGGCTCTGAAGGTGCCGGCTTGTGATGACGTTGAGGAAACTGGACCTTAAGTAATACGCGAAATGATACTTTTCATAAATAAATTGGGTTGAGTGGTGGTTAGTGGGTGGAGGAGCAGCAACTGCTACCAACCAAACATTTGCATTCGTTGCCATTGCAGTTAGCATGAAAAAGGTTAGCCATTGCCCTTGCGCTGAGGTAAAATGAAAATTCAATGGTGCTGCTGTTATGCATCCTGATTATGGTGATGTTGGTGAAGGTGGTAACTGGTGAAGGCGGTAACTGGTGAAGGCGGTAGCTGGTGAAGGTGGCAGCTGGTGAATGTGGTAGTATTTATGTTGGCTATTTTGCATCATAGCCTCATTTCTTGGAATTTTCGTTCTACATTTTTTTGGATTTTATGATTATTTTTTTAGACCACTCCACTTCTTTCCCCTTCCCATCTCTTTTCCCACCCTTTCCTTTGGAGTACAACTGCAAATCTTTTGGTTTATGGTTGAAATGGTTTGTTTTATGTTTTCACTGCTGCTGAACTGGCCTTAAATCATGGCATAATAGAAGTACCAGAGAAAATATTTTTTGAATTTTTGCAGAGTTTAGATTTTTGTTAGTTTTTTTTCTCTCATACTTCCTGTCTATATATTTTGACACTTGCCATGGATCCAAATGTTTTTCTTTCTTTTTTTTTGAATAGTCAATGATGTTATTGAACTGAGGAGCATCGGAATTGAAGTGTATGAATAATAAGTATTGACAGATGGTTGGTATGGATTTGAATGCCGGGATAAATGGATTGATGGTGTTTCATAGCTGCTTGTTGTTGGTTGAATGAATGAATGAATAGATGGACGGAAGACTAGTGGTGGCCAGTCGATTGTTTGTTATGAATAGACGGATATTTAGTTGAATAGAGATTTCTTTTTGTTGTTTTTTTTTTCTCTGGAATATTTTTTGTTTTTGTTACCAACCCAAATCTTTGTTGTTTGATGGCAAATCATATTGAGGCCAATGATAAGGGAATAATGAGTTGGTGTTGGTATTAAGAGGATTAAAGCATAGACTTTTAATGGCTACAATTCCATAATGGTAATTGGTATACAAAAATATATGAAATAAGGAAATAGACCGATTTCTTAAACGGATGGTAACTGGAGATAAAAAATGGATCACATACGATAACCCTATGCGAAAACGATAGTTGTCAAAGAGCGGTGAAGAACCATAAACGGTGGCCAAACCAGGAAGGTTTAGCTATTCATTTGGATGGAAGGGTTTTTTTATATTATGATTTGCTTCCATATGGCCATACGCTAAATATGCTTCCATATGGCCAAACGCTAAATTTTGATTTCTACTGTCAACAACTGGACCGTTTGAAGATAGCAATTGACCAGAAACGGCCAGAATTGGCCAACAGGAGAGGTGTCGAGAGGACAACGTTAGTAAAACCCTACCACTATTCCGCTAATGTCATCGACTACCGTCAACTCTAGACCGGACTTTGCAAAGTCTGGAGAGATAGACCTCCTGATATCTGATAGAAGAAATGGTTTCTTTCCGTCTCAGTCAGGTGGTACAGGGTATTATGTTTTTGTGCATATGTTTGTAACATGCAGAAGGAAACGAGGTAGACACTTGGTTCCTTTTGAGAATATGCATAGAATCATTTTCTAAGTCGATTTATGCATGTCCGTCCGTCCGTCCGCCCGCCCGTCTGTCTGTCCATGTTAAATTGTAAACAAAGTACAGGTCGCATTTCTTATCCAAATAGGATGAAATTTGGCACACCTAGTCTATTTGGCCCAAGGACGAACCCTATTGAAATTGGAAAAATCGGTTCAGATTTAGATATGGCTCCCATATATATATTTTCGTCCGATTTCATGTAAATGGTGTACAAAAGTCCCTATATATCTTCCGATTTGCACGAAATTTGGCATAACGAATTGAATAAACCCTAGAACGATGTGTGTTAAGTTTCGTGGAAATCGGTTCAGATTTAGGTATAGCTCCATATATATTTTCGCCCGATTTAATGTAGATGGTGTACCAACGACCCTATATGTCTTTCGATTTAGAAAAAAATTGGCATAGCGTACTGAAATAAGTCTAGAATGATGTGTGTTATGTTTCGTGGAAATGGGTTCATATTTAGATATAGCTCCCATATATTTTTGCCCGATTAAATTTTGCACGAAATTTGACATTGCGTACAGAATTGAGTCTAGAATGATGTGTATAAAGTTGCTGAAAATTGTCCAATTTTAAGACCCAAAGTTAGGCAGATTGCCACACAATTTTGCACAACGTACTAAAGTTTGTGTAACATAACATGTGTAAAGTTTTGCTGAAATCAGCTCGGATTTATTTTGCACAACGTGCTTAAAATAGTTTAGCCAAGTGTGTGTCATGTTTTGTTGAAATCCGTCCAAATTTAGTTGTATCTTTCATATAGTTTCGTCCGATTTTAAGTAGGACCCAAAATATGTCCATTAGGAACAAAACGTGCATACATTGATCTGAATTATTTTATGATCTAAGTCGATTCACGTTTAGATAAAGGTCACATATTTTAGTTCATCCAATTTCATGTTAATGGATCTTTTGTTAGGATGCATCTTTTAAATACACACATAGTGGTGAAGGGTATCATATAGTTGGCCCCGTCCGACTTTACTACTTTCCTTACTGGTTTGCATTGACGATACGAGGATGACACCATGAATACCCATCTGATTAATAACACGGTAACCATGGCGATTCCTCCAATTACGATAATCTCAAAAGAGAGATAAGTGAGTATGCTGATGTCAAGAAGTCATTGATTTGGCTATGGATGCTGATGATTTTCCCCAGGGGAAAAGGCGTGGTTTCCACTGGTAAAATGGATGATTCTTCAGCACCATTAAACACCAAATGTCCGAAGGTCAATTACACCAACCAGAAGGTGGAAGCTAGGAACTAAGTTTAAAAAGCTCTGACTGAAACCTCGGGGGCAATAATAAGGAAACATTGGTAACGACATACAAGGTCATCGATCGTTTTATTCTTAATTGTGCAGCCCCAGTCTTCATCCTTGCAAACAACTGAAAACAATGCCCTTCGAATAGCAACCAGATGACTAGGTTCGATCACCTACATGAGGAGAGCGGTATGCTGTCAGTCAGGTAACATAATGTGTTGTTGACTAGACAATTCCTGCTGGTAAGCTATTTGCCGTGATATTCCAAACATCACACAGTGATGGCCGATATTCCTCCGCGACACATCTGTTGGGACATCGTAATACGACAGATCGTCGATATCTAACGCCATGACATGTTTGTATTAAATGGCGGTGTCCGAAGACATAACTGTTTACAGATGCAATAAAGTTCTACTCTAACATCGTCCCTACTCCATCTCGGACAGTGAGAGGCTTCTCCATAGGCAAGTCCGTTCAATTCTCGGGGAGAGCAGGATGCTGTCAGTCAGGCAACAAAATGTGTTGTTGGCTATACTGTTCCTGCTGGTATCATATCTGCTGTTTTATCCCAACAATCCACCTTAGCAAGAAATCCGTTATGACTTCCGAAGTCAACAGATTGTTGATAGCCATGAAATTTGTGCATCAACAGGAGGTCTCAAAGACATAAATGTCTGCAGATGTTACAATGTTAAAAGGGATGATGTGGGACTTTTTTATGAGGATTATGTTTAAACTTGAACATGTATCAAAATTTACTGCATATATTTTTTATTCCACCCTCTAAGAACCCGTAATTCCAA